GCACAAAAAGATTCTCCATATTTACCTTTCTCTATCCTGCACCCCCAGAGTGAATTCTGGGTTTACTGGTGTTATTTTAGTTCCCTGTAACTCATTTTCATAAAATATTTTGAGGAAGAACGTAGAGATCATCTACAATAGCTTGTCTATTGAGGTGTAATCAAGCACCTGGGTTAATTTAAGCATAAGGCCCTTCAAAACTGGAGGAAGTGAAGGTGAATTCCTATTCTGCTACTTAGCAGCTTTGTGACCTCCAGCGAGTTCCTTAACCATTCTGAACTTAACTCATCACCTATTTTAGAAGGAAAACAGGACCTACCTCACAGGACTGTAGTGAGGAAGTGGGATATTGCATATGGAATGTTCCAAGAAGAGGTTTCCATATCATGTCTGCTACTGTTATTACAAAATACAGGCTCTTCACTTTTCCTGAGTCAGAGGTTCCGTTAAAAAATCTAAACCAAACGAACCAAAATCTTGGGATCCTCCAGGAAAATGCAACATGCATAGTCACGGGGCTTGCAGTCAATAAAATTTCAGGCTGTCTGCAGAGCCTCTGATATCCAAAGACCCCCAATTAAGAAACCCAGCAATTACAAATTCCTGCTTCTCCATGAGGACCAAGACAGCTACTAGAACCAGCATCAAAACTAGAACCAGGTATCCTGGCTTCTAATTCACTCCTCTTTCAACCAAGACAAGTTGCCCATATTAATAAGCTAAAGCTGTATTTAAAGCACTCAACCCCGGCAGCACCTGGCTGGCTCAGTCAGAAGAGCGTGCAACTCTCCATCTCGGGGTCGTGGGTTCGAGCCCCATGTTGCACACAGAGAATACTAAAAGAATAAAAATAAAAAATAAAACACTCAGCCCTGGATATAATAAACATACTTTTGGACAGTGTTTCCTTGATAAACCTTCTTGCAACAACAACGATTTTTGTTAAATTGGTAAGAAGTAAAGAAAAAGCACAGAAATAGAAACACACAGACCTGAACCATTATAATCCAGTCTATAAAAGGGAACTGCACTTTACTTCTCCTTTACAAGTACTCAGGTTAGCACATGCTCAACTTATAGTCTTAACTGAGACTGTATTTAGGGGGTATAAAACTTATTCTCAGACTTTGAAACTCTACTGTGATGGATTCAGGCAAAAGTCCATCCACAGAGGAATTCCTAAGATGAGAAACCGGTGGGAAACTTTGCAGAGGTGGTAGCAGCCAATCCCACGTGAACCGACAGCTCACGCCCAGCATCCCCAGGAGGGGCCAACCAGCCTTCCCGACGTGAGAACACAGAAGAACTGTCTATAAAGCATTCTTGGGGGGAAACAAAAAACCAGAACGGTTTTTTGATCCAGCCTTACTTCCATTTCACAGAAAATACAAGGGGATAGAAGAACATGACAAATGAAATCCAAATGAAGCCGACAGAACGTGGGGCACTCCACAGCACAAGAGCTGGGTCTCTGACAAGGAAGGGCATCAGAAAGGGGGGCGGGGGGCATAGGGTTGCTATCCATGAAAACAGCCAACTGCATGGCATAAACCACGTTTGGATCCTAATTCAATCAAATATTCTATAAATCCTCAGAGACCTCTGAATATGGATCTGGTATTAGGTGATACCAAGGAAGCGTTCACTTTGCACGTGCAGGGTGACACTGGAATTGAGGTGATGTAAAAACTGGAGATTTTTCTTATGCACACGGAAGGTAAAAATGACATAAGATTTAGGATCTGCCTCAAAAGATTGAAGCCACAAACCCTTGTTAACTATTGGAGCTGGTTGTGGGCAACGGGGGTGATAAGGATTCGCCACCCTACTCTCTCTCCATGTATGTTTGAAATTCTCCAGGATTACAAAATAAAAATAAAACTCTATCTTTCACAGTCCTTTTTAAGTCCTTACGTATCTAAGTCTTATAAGAGATAAAACGTTAAAAGAGAGAACGGAAGCAAAACTGTCCATTCTCCCCAACTTACTCATTCATGACATGTTCCCGATGAAATCTCAGCTTTGGAAAGAACCCAAAAGGGCATCTAGTTCAGGGATTCTCAAATCTGGCTGCAAGTAAGAAACACCCATGGAGCTTATCAGAACCACCAATTGTCCCCAACCCACCTCAAACCGAATGAATGAGTATCTCCAGGGCAGAGCCACGAAATGCTCACGGCTTTGAGGTGCCCGGGTGCTGCCGGTCCAATCTTGTAAGATCCCTCTCCCACATCCCAGGCAGGCAGGTGTCCAGCAGGGGACGTGTTCCAAGCCCTCAGGGACAAGGACCACACCGGATTCTGCAATCTCAGTTACGTCAAGTTTAAAACTGTGTTCCACGCTTTTAGAAGAAAAAAAATGTGACTACAACGTGCAAGCCTTCCATTCTCCTCCTTCAACGAACACATACTTCTCACCAGCTTTCGGCTGTACTTGGTCACTGGGTTGTGGCCCAACCTCATTGTGGGAGCTACCACCAAGTAAAATCCCCAGGGGAAAAAAAACAAGTTTACCCGTGCAGCCAAAGGGGCTTTCACTGGGCCAGGTGTCAGGGAGAATGCCTCCCCCTTCACTCAGCCAGCCAGAGGAGAAACCCCAAATGGAGGGGCCAGCGCCAGTGCCCTGGAAGGACCTGGGAGTAACCCAAGAAAGGAGGAGAAAAGGGGGAAAACTCACACTCTGGGCTCTGTTCTCACAAAATCACAAACGATGGGAACAAACTCCCGGCTACAACACTGCCTGGCATTCGATCAGAAACATGTCAATACAGGTCGGCCTGGCCAGGAAGCCAGGACTCCATGTTTCGTAAGATTAACCATCTCAGATCCTTAAAGCCATTCATTCCCTTCCATATCGGTGTTTGTGCAGAATGACAACCGTCACCCCCGGAACACCAGACTCCCAGAGTGGGGGCTGGGGGTGCGCACAGGGGAGATGGCACTCCTGCCCACGTGCCTTAACACACACAACCCGCCCAACACACCTGTCACTCGGGGGGCTGATGAATATGCCTCCCAAAACTCTCTGCCCACTTTGGAGTTGCTCTCCTTGAACATTTCTTTTTTTTTTTTAAGATTTTATTCATTTGAGACAGAGAGAGAGAGAGAGAGAGAGAGAGCATGAGCAGGGGGAGGGGCAGAGGGAGAGGGAGAAGCAGACTCTCCACTGAGCCAGGAGCCGGAGGTGGGGCTCGATCCCAGGACCCTGGGCTCATGACCTGAGCCGAAGCCAGACGCTTCACCGACTGAGCGGCCCCCCAGCGCCCCTCGTTGAACATTTCTGAGTGAGCGTGAGCTCTGGCGTCGTGGCAAACGCAGAGCCAGGCAGGCAGTAACGCGCAGGACAGGGTCACGCCCAGCTGAAAGCACTGTCCATTGCTTTCTCGGGGACATGCGGCTTTGGGGGACCTGGACAGCATTTTCTTCACTATCTTCTAATCCTGAAGTTGCCTTCTAAGATTTTCCCCTCCTAACCACAAAGACCCACCTATACAGAAACTTTTAATAGCACAGACTTGGTTCTTTAGAGGGGTGCAGCGAATTCTCTTTAAGTTCAAAGAATGATGGTAGAGCAGTCAACAGAGCCAAGTCCAGAGGTCCATCTCCTCGCGCCCCTTTGGTGAGGTGGAAGGGAGGAAGGAGAGCGGGGCATACCCGGGGACAGCAGCAGCGCCCCATCACTGTCACGGTTAGGTAAAAATAAGGACATGGGGACTATTCGCATTTGCACGCTGGACCTAGGCATCGCCTTCCCCGGCAGGCGGAGGCAAAGCTCCTGAGTGCCCACATCTCTCCAGGTGTTCCCAGGCAACCCCCTCCTCAAACCCTGCATGCCCACTCCCCATGTTGAACATAAACTCGGGGGAATACCATTTGCAGACAAACGTGTCCAGTTGCAGCAAGGAGAACGATGGCGTCGTCACTTCTGGATTCACATTCTTCCATGCCCAAGACGAGCAGAGTTCCCTCAGGCTCAAGATTGTACTGGAAACAGGACCATGTTTCTGAAGAGAAAGGCCCCAACACGGCACAGCCAGTACCCCACACCCGAACTTCAAAAAGGGGCAAAAGCAGACTGCCGGCTACACATCGCAATGTGATTACCACGAAAAACCAGGCTGAAAAATACAGTAATAATGCGAAAACTCTGGAGAGAACGTTTCCCAGCTTACGTTTTAACTGCAGCTACATGACTTCTCGGAACTCCGAAGTCAGACCACAGCTTTGCGTTCCAGCCCTACCGGTCAATCCTCTTTCTACGGCTCCTACAATGATATTATACAAACTATCTCACTTCAGCAGGCCAGGAAACCTGGACTAAGGCTTTACAGTCAAAATTCAATCTTTTGGAAGCTCATCTCTAAGGGGAACCTTACCCTAAGTTTTCATACTCTGGGTGTTTCGAAGTTGCCACTTACGTGTATACCCCTGATTTTATGAGTCACCTCGGCAATCCATGTCTTTGTTTGTCTGGTCTTGGAGTATACTGTTCCGTCACCTCCCAATGTCCATCACTGTCCAATTTATTCCAGAATCCTGGAGAGGTTGCCTCTCTCCAAATTAATACTTAGAAAGAAAAGAAATGCCATTTTTCTCTTGTCCCAGGTGAATTTTCTCAAATGTATATACACATACCTCATGGTTAATGGCTGTCCTTGGAATACGGACCTGTGTTTGTACTATAAACCCAAAGTGACCCATCCACAATGAGGGATGATCCTAAGAAGCAATCAAGTGTACAAACCACTGTTTTGTGATCATGTTCAGATACCACAGTCGGAAACTCTCAATCTGGCAAGAACAGCAAAAACACTCTCCAACGAATATGTTTAAGGCAAAAGAAGTTCTTTGCAACCAAATGAATGAAATAAAATTACTCATTTGTAACTGCCACTTTGGTGTGGTGAACATACATCCCTCAACACTTTTTTTTTTTTTTTATGGGGAGAAATGACACATTTTAAAAAAGAAAAATGTGAGTTCCAGACCCAGAGGGCTTACCTGACTCCTCTCCTTGTCCACTTTCTTAAAACACTTATTCAAAGACAAATTATGTCTCACTGAGTTTTTCCACCCAGTAGGTGCGTTTGCAAAATACGGAAAATGTTCCAAGATCCAGTTGTAGATATCCTTTACTGGCAGGCGCTTGGTTGGAGAGTCCTCAATGGCCATAAATATGAGGCAGCTAAAGGAGTAGGGGGGTTTGCAGTTGGGGTTCTGCCTGGCATCGTAGGGCATGTCAGAGTGGGCAGGGGATGGAGGGGTGTCATCGTCCAGGTCCTGGACAGGGCTGACACTCCTGAGGACTGACTCCCCGAAGCTCTTCAGCAAGTTCTTGCTCTCGTGAAGCCAGTTCAGATTGGTCAGCTCTTCATCTTCCATGGCCCCCTCTTCTAATCGGATGTCAGGCAAAGAGAAGTCAAGGTCATCGTCCTCCTGCAGGGCCTTGGAGAAACCACTGTCCCGGTAACACTGACTCAGCCCACTGGAGACACTAATTCCTGAGCTTTCTGGCTTCTTACTGGGAGGCATGACTGGACCCATTTATGTGAAGGCTCCTGGTAAACACATTACAAAGAAAAGATGAGTTGGAGAAACCCAAAACAGAGAGGCAGCCATGCCCTCCCAATTCTTTTCAGACTACCTCCCACCCCTGCCGCCTCTATGGACCCCCTGGCCCCACGGGAACACCATCTCATGGCTCCCACGCTGGGTAACACAGACCCACCACTCTACCACACAGAGATGCACTATTGAGTAAAAGCAGTCCACCATGCGCGTAGCCTGGCGACTTGGTCACCTCTCAAATACACTGAGACTAGAGCTATTTACAGTACCTTTAATATGCATATGCGTCATGGAAAGAATGGGAAATCTACAAAGCTTTCTTCCCAGATTTACATGATCATTATATTATCACCGAGCCCCACTGTCAGTTATTTCTTGGTGCCTCGATTTCTTCTCAAAATACGAACGTATGCACAGGTAAAATTCTTTCAAGCCTCACAGCAAACACTACAAAGTAAACGCAATGCACCACTCCTGTCACTTGGGGTTACAGGCCTCATGGTTTATCCTTCCCTCCCCACCCCTAAAAATACCTGCAAGTTTAAGGCCAGGTGTTTCAGATTAAGTTCAGCTGTCTCCACATGAAAACCATGACAACTGCCCCAGAATTAACACTCTGGCCACAGCGTGCATTGATTGGTAGTGTTTTATATTTGACTGTATCTTTCCTCCACAAGCAATGGCCCCAAGCTCTGCAACTTTAATCACAGCTGGCAAGTGTAAAGACTGGTAAACAAGGAAGTCTGTGGGTTGGAACTGGAGGAAAAAGTATATTCCATTATTGGGACACTACACCCCAAATGAAAAAGCGAGTAACTTCGGGCACCGCACAAATCAGTGGGAATGTGAAGACGAGCCATTAACTCAAATTAGAATTGGTGAAAAAAGCCAGAAGAGCAACTGGCAGCTTCCAAGACTGGAAGGCAAATGCAACAAAAATTGCTACAGAATTCTATTCTGCACCCCCCCATGCCACCCCCATTTTTATCAATGACCTAGAACAGCGCGTACAACTTCTGATGGGGAAGAAAATGAGGACGTGGCAAGTCCACAAACAGAATGACCCCGATAGATACAAAGCATATTCAACCTCGAGTACTCAACGTAAGGTATGAAGAACAGTAAAGATAATGAAAGGGGTCTCCCACTGTCCGCCTGTAGCGCTCACACAATGTGCTTGGTTTAAGAAGCATGTCTGTTTTATTTTTTCCCCCTGAGTAAGAAGATCAAGCCACCTATCTAGAAAAAAAGAATGAACACAAAAGCAGACATGATCATTCTAAGGCTCCAATGCCCATTGACAGTGTGCTGAAAGTAACTGCCACTTCAGCTGGGGAAGCTCTTGAATGGGATTCCAGAAAGTATAATGTGAGGCACCCAACGGCCAGCCCAGGGTGCCTGAAAACCGCAGGACCCTCCCTCTATCACAAGGTCGACAGACAGAACCTGCTGGCAGAAGGCGGGAGAAAGCTCTCCGGAGCTGCTGAGAGATGCCCAGCTCCAAGGAGGGAAAACCTCCAGTTTCAGCCACAGGGACTCTTTCTTTCTGTCAAACAAGGAACCTAACCTGAGTAGTACAGGACACAATTTAAAGAATAAGCCAGTATCTTTAGGTTTGGGGCTATGACAGAGACCAATTTGATAACGTTTTTTACCTTTTTTATTAACAAATCAAAGCTAGGCTTGTCTCTCTCCGGGTTTCCCCAGATCCCATCACAAAACCCTAGGTTTCTGACAACCAGGAATATCCACACAGTAGCGTACAAAACAGAACATATACTCCAGCCACTGAAGTCAACTTCAGCTCCAGATGAAAGTTTTATGTCTCCTGAGCTTCCAAACAGGAAAATTATATCATGGCTGACAGTAAAGTAATTTAATTGCACTGTTGCTATGACAACATGCTGCTCTTTCTTTTCAATTTGCTTATTTGTCAGTAGCTTCCCAAAGGAACTAACACACTATACTCCATGTTTTCTTTTGTTTTAAACAAACATTGCCAGCAGTATGGTTTTATTAGTAAAAATAGCACTGTCGAGAAAAGAGGGTGACGGGGGTCTGCTACCCTTGAATCATCTGTCTGCTTTGTGTTTCTGTCCCCCCCATGCACTCCAACTGCTAACTGCAACCCTATAAATCCAGCATTTTCATAGCAACGGTATCAAGAGCTGCTGATCACTACAGTTCCATTTTAAAAAAAACAGTTCCCAGAAACCACAGCTGAGGAGTTTTCCATTATTATACTCTAACTACATAATTTGCCAAATCTTTTTTTCCTCCTATTTCAGAGGGGAAAAAAGAGAGAGCGAGCGAGAATCCGGATCATGTGAGTCTGCAGTTAAGCAAACATTTTTAATCTGCTGCCAATAAGGTTGCTCCACCAGATACGCAAATAGTTATTCACTAGTGACCTCCTTACAACTTTTCGGTTTGCTATTGGTTACATTCCACACACACACACACACACACACGCACACACACACACCCTCTTTTTGTTTTTATATGACTTGCTGTGTTTTGTTATCTTATTTGCTTTTCAACGGAGAAAATGCAGCAGGAAAGCGAGTTTCTTGCCCACTATCAGAAGGTTTCCAAATAACTGACACATTACTGACCCAGCTTCAAACAGATGTTCGAAGTGAACTTTAAAAAGTTAAGAAATCCTCTCCAAGCCGAGCAGGGCAGTCGCGAGTTTGGAGGGGCCGGGCAACCCCCCTTCGCGCGCGCGCGCGCGCGCGCACGCGCTCCACTCCCGTCTACTGTACTTGTCAAAAACATTTCAAGGGGACCTGCGGGAGCGGCGATTGGCTGCGTCCCGCGTCAATCAGCAGCGTTGCCAGGCAACGAGGAAACTGCTCTGCTCCCCATATACTGGGCAATTGGGAGCTCGCATACCTTCACTGCCGGTCAGATGTCATAAACCTTTTATTGGCCGCACCGCGGCGAGCCTTAAAAACACATCAATAAAAGCCCGCCGTCCCCCCAACTTCTCCAGGGCCCAAGGAGGGTTTCCTAGAGAGCGGGGGTGAGGAGGGGTCGGGCCTCGGGGGGTCTTGGGAGACGCTCACCGCCGGTGCCAAGCCTACACAGTTTGGGGGGAGGGGGCATCTTTGTTAGGAGCCTGTTTCTCATCTTGGGGTCTCCCCTAGATCCGCACCCCCTCCCCCGGCCCGGAACGGCGGGGATCCTGTCCTCCGCGGACAATACCAACTCTGCTCCTTTCGGGCTTCTTTCGGAAATCGAGGCACCGGGAAACAGCCCGCACGTCGGGGCAGGAAACTCTTCGGACCGGGCAACTTCCCCGCTCGGGGGCTGCCGTCTCCCCGCCCGGCCGGGCCCCCCACCCTGCGCCCTCCCCCCAAGGAACCGCGGAGTCCCTCGTCTGCCGAGAGCGGTGAGGTCGCCTCCAGGACGGCCTCGGACGAGCGCCCCCGCCCCGAGTCACCCCAACCCCACCGGGGCGCCGGCGGGAGCGGGGAGCAAACTCACCTGGCCGGAGCGGAGCGCGGGGGCGCGGGGGCGCCGCAGCCCTTCAGCGGGAGCCGACAAAGTTTCGCGGGCGCCCAGCGGGCATCGCTTGGTGGCCCGGCTGAGGACGCGCGGGCGCGGCGCGGCGAGCCCGGGGCGG